TACATAATGGTAATTGATTTTAATCTACATTTCTGAAGGTTATCAATTTTATCTTTAATAATCGAACTAGGTATATTTTAACAAAATGTACAGAAAATAATACATAAATAAAATTACCGATTAGAAAAATTCTTACATCTATAGAAAACTATATAAGTGCCATAAGTAGGTACTATATAATGTTAAAAAATATATATGAAAAACAACTGCAGATCGCTAATTGTGATATACAATGATTCTTATTTAGGGAACGTTTTTTATATATGTACCTACTTATTTAAAAAATAATGCCTTAGTATATATTTAGACAATTTCATTCAATTTTAGAAAGTATGCTCGTATACTCCTACCGTACCTATCCTACCTATACTCGTAATATATTCGTAGTACCTATAGTGAATATTATGAAGTTTGAAACATTTTTGTGCTTTGGTATAATATTCGCAAACACTGAGAGCAGGTAGAATGGTCTAACTTTTATGATCAGCTAGCTGCATGGCGCATAGCGGCGTCTTCAAACGGTTTCGTGAGATACAACTAGAAAGTGTTTTATTGTTTTAACACCCCCAATAAATGAGTAAGGCATGTTTGTATTTTACAAGGAGCCGCCTTCTGTTTCGCTATATCGGCACGTTTGATGTAGGTGTACACAATAGGGTAACAACATAAAGCATGAATAGGTATCCTTATTTGTTTGTTTTACTGCGAAATGCAAAGTTTTATTACCTACTGTTCTACAGCTGTACGATTGTGTCTACACATACCATGATAACGATAAGAGATAAGAGACTGATAATATTTCTTAGCATTTTACGATATGAGCACCCTTAACGAATGGTTATATTATTGGTGGTTAACTTCAAACAACATCGAATTTGTTCGATTCTTTTTTTTAGGAATTTTAGAAGGAATGATTTTTCAAATTGTTGCAGGGACATAACTTCTGTAAAGTTGAATATAGGGATCAACTATAGAAAGACAGATGTCAGATTTTTGGCAAACCATAAATTAAAGAAAAAGATCCAAAGTAAATATGAACAGAAAGCCCCGCGGCAAAACCAAATACAATATTCTGAATAAGCCATCGATTGATTTCATAAGATTAATGGTAGCACATTGTCAGCGCCACAGTATGACGAGAACGTTAGCCAAATTTGCGCAACAAAAATGTGTTTTATACCTTATAATATAAGAGCTAACAAATTTTATTTTTAGATTCTTTTTAAGCTGACAGAGGAATGAATGATGTTTTATATTGCAATCAAATTTGAACATAACGTATCGTTTATAGAGCTCTAAATAGCATTCCAAGAAAACTATGGAGTTAGGATACTTTAATTTTGAAGAGACTGGTTTAGGGTCTGATAGAAATTGATTTTGGAATTCAGTGTGAAATTGAAATAAAAGTTTTTTTTTATTTGAGCACATTTGCAAGGAGCAGTGCGCATACTATACGCTTAATCTGATTAAATATTTATTTGTTTGACTTTAAAAACATATAATATTTGACATTCAATTTAAACTGGTCGGTCACATTAAGGTAATGGGTTGAATATAATGTTTGATGTATTAATATTTGGATACAACAAGTAAGAAAAGATTGATGTATTTTCTATATGCATTATTTGTATTCATTTGTTTAGCGCTCAGGTTGAATATCTTATTAATAGCATTTTTTATAATAAATATATTCCTTACATAAATAAAGTTTATTAATTTATAGTCTTATAACAATTTTGATGTATTTTTAAAAATATTATATAAAATGTAGTTTGGGGAAAATAAGATTCAAATTATTTTCCAAAGCCAGGTACAAAACACAACGTCTATTGAGAAAACGTTTTAGTTTTCCAATGATTTATTAAATTCTATATACATTATTTGTATTGATTTGTTTAACGCTCAAATTGAATAACTTATTAATAGCATTTTTATAATAAATATATTCCTTACATAAATAAAGTTTAGTAATTTATAGTCTTATAACAATTTTGATGTATTTTTAAAAATATTATATAAAGTGTAATTGTAATTGTAATTTAATGAAATTGTTCATTATAATGAATAAGGATTTTATACACATTCTGAATAAATAGATATATATAATATTTGAGTTTTAATCTAAACATAAAACCTGTTTACACGTATATTGTGAATATGGCTGTAGATTATATGGATATATATATATAATAGAAATAAGTTTATTTCATACAAATAGTACTTATATTACTATACTTCTGTCAATATATGTAATCTATTATTCTTAATTATTTGTCCTGACTGACTTTTCAACGTACAATCGAAACAACAAATATCAGAAATCTGAATTTTTGTTACATATTTATTTTATAGCGTAGGAATATTCCTACGCTATAAAATAAATATGTAATCAAAAATTACTTTCAACCATATGGTTGAAAGTAATTTTTGATATTTCATTATGAAATCAAATAGTCCAGCATACTAATAGGTAATGCATTGAAATATAGTAAATATAAAGAGAAATACATGGGTAAGTACAATATATGCGGTGGGTGTACGTTTGTCCAACAGATGTTTGTGCCGACTCGGTTGGGAGGTGTGCGCGTTTGACAAAGAATGCATATGTCACTGCGGCTGTAGCCGGAGCTACGCTATTGGGCGTTCAATACTGCAAACGTTGCATGACTGTGCAATTTCTATAAAGTAGGTATTGAGACGCTTAATAAATACAATTTGATAAATATATAGTTAATAAATGTTATTTAAAAGGTAATGGTTATACGTAGTTACGTAGTAAGTCACATTATGATATTAATACTTAAAAAATCAATACTGAGTTTCTTATCATAATCATAATATTATAAGCGTAAACAATTCCCTAAAGCAAATGCTTATAGATGAGCCCACTTAATAAATAAGAAATAATCATTAACACATTTGGTAATTATTATTTCTATTAAGATATAATTTACTGCGCTAGTAGATACAAATATATTTCTTTATTATATTTAAGAGTTTAATTTATTATTCTTATCTAACGTTTATTATAAAAGTATATCAATTTTATAGTTAATATTTCACACGAGCAACAAAATATTGGATATATTTTCCGTGTAATTTCATATTTAAAGCTATTTTTGGTTGGAAGCGATATTGTGGACCAAAGTCAGTGAAGCCACTTGTAGATCTTAGTTGGTGGAACACGAGTTCAGGATCAACATATTATTGATTTTAATTTTGATGAATGAATTTGAATTCGAAGTAATGTCCGATTTATTTGATACGTAATAATTGTAAAATGTAATAATTATTTGTTGTCACAACTTATTAATATCTACAATATTTATATTCATTATCTTATTAATTATTTTTTCAGGTATAATGCTATCATGTCAAGACAAATATCAATAAAAAATTGTGTAGAATATATTTAAGGAAACAATTACCTAATCAAAAAGGTAACATTGGCGTTATTGAAATCGCAACTGGCAGTATACGCGCGCGCACGCATGCTGGGCTATTGTCGCTTCCCCCGATTGAACTGTTATACTCCATGAGTTATGTTCTTTTCAGATGCATATTATACAGGATGATTTAGTTAAACAATAGTTTGGTACATCATGGTTGTCGAGGAAAATAACAATTGTATTGCTTTACCCATGCAAAACCGAGAAATGCCAACTACTTACCTAATATTTTTTTAATGGGTGATAATGAAATGGCGAAACTAAACCTGCGCTGCAAGTATACGCTAGCAGTTATACCAGTGGAGCATGGTAAGATAAGTAGGTCAGGTCTGTTAGCCTAGCGTATTCACTTGGTAATAACACCAGGAATTAATGATAACAGTTTCCTTCTGGAAACGTCCATACTGCGACCGTGTTGGTGTCAACTTTAATGTATCGTATATTATTAGCAATGGGGTGAAGTTAGTTTAGGTTAGTTCCTATAGAAACATTACTTAGATTGGAGATGGATTTAAATTATTTTGTTTAATTAAACGAACTGCGGAATTCCACAACCATTAGCACGTGTCAGACTATGATCATTAATAGCAATGGTCGTAAGACTTCTAGTAGCAGTGGTCAGGTTTCCATACGGAGGATACACATATATGTTTCAGACATACTAATAGAAGTAGTATTTAATAAAATTATAAATATATATATATATACCTATTGACACAATCTATTTCCGTCAGAAAAGTAGTATGTGAAACTAAGCAACGCCTTTTACTGTTTCTGTATGAAATGAGATATTTCATGTCCTGTCGGTTCAATTTGGCTCGCAAACATAATAAATATTGAAAACAGAATGTGGAATTAGACGATAGATACTATAAATCTTGTTAAATAAAAAATGTACAAAAATATATTATTATTGAATTGTCTAAAATTCCGACGCATAAAAATTAACTGCAAGTAAACTATAAATAAAACTAATTTTAAAATGTTCCTAATTATTATATATAAATAAAAACTAATTAACTAATTTTAAATAAAGGAAAACAAGTTAATTTTGAACCTCCTGTATAAATAATATCGAGAACACAACACAGTGACACACATACGCGGCTTTACTCTAAACCAATAATAAAATAAAATCAATCTATACCACCCTCTCATAAGCACACAAACGTACATCAATCAATGATTTTCCTATCTCTATACGCACACATACATTGAAAAATATTGGGAATATTGGCGTTGTAAACATTTATAGGATATTTGCAAAGTATTCTGATAAACGAACATTATATTTCTGTTTTTGTCGCACACATTACATTCAATGAGTCGAGTCAACGAGAGAATAGGACAGCGAACCCGGTTTTACAACTTTGCAAAGGGACAATGGCGACGCTATTGTTGAAAGTACCCCAAACTTTTTTTAGGTCATATAAAAGTATTACATTTGTAGGGACGTGCCGCCTTTATGCACTTACTGCATTCGATTCGCAGTCGACTCAGGAGACGGGTCATAGTCTCCCACGCAGTATTCATTTTAGTGAAAATATCTATGAAATCAGTGACTTGACTATGTCGTCGATAGCAGCAAGTAATCGTGCTAGTGAAATGTGGAACAATAGTGTCGAAGTGAACAATCAGAGTAGTAGACAAAAACATTATAGTTATAAACCTTACCCAGTGGTATCCCCCAGTGGTTATAATTATCAAAACAACTTTTACCCACAAAATTGTAATTATTCCAATTCGTTCGGTGGTAGTTATGGCGCTAAAGTTTACGGTAATAATAACCAACAGAGTAACGCTGTGGTGAAAACGGAACCAGGTAATTGGCCTAATTATCCAATAAATTACATGAATGACAATAATACAAACTTGGAAATGGTAAACAGATGGAGAGAAATGAGTTACTATGCACAGCAATATGATAACAATTATAATTACGATCAAAGAATGAATCAATATACTGCCCAAAATGGACAGGAGCCTAAAAATGAAGATCAAAGACTTGTCAATTCACCTGGTCAATGTAGTATCCCAGAAACTAACTATGGATCTCCACAAAGTACGTCAAGCCATTTGAAACCAGCAACACCAGAAACAGAGGATTCTCCTAATCTACGAGCACTTTTAACAAAACCACAAATGAAAAAGCCTATGCCTTATTTTGTTAAGTCTGATAAGCCCTATGCGCAAGAAATGCAACAGATGATGTTTCACGCAGACGAGATTACTGATTGGGAAAAAAACAATGAGATATCAGCAGGGAAAGAATGTAATTTGTCGCAATTTCATGGTGGATACGAGAGTAGCGAGGGTCAGACGTCAGTCAAGAGTAAAGGTGCCGTGGGTGGGGCGTCGGTTGCAAAAGAAGACGCACAGTCATCGCAGGAGCCGCCGGCGGAGCCCTGTCAGGACGTGACGAGGGTCGCACCAGGCGGGGACAATGTGAATTACGCAGAAAACAAAATGGCCGTTGCACCCGAAGCGCAAGGATACTATCCCTGGATGAAAGGTGTTGGTAGTAAGTTCATTTTTTATAAACAATTATTTTTGGTTGAATTTAAAATATTTAAGACCAATGCTATACACTAACTGCTAATTTTGTGTTACATTTTATTATTTATTTTGATTAGATGGAGTTTAATGACATTTTCTATACAAAATTTTGATTAATGTGTTTGTTTCTGTTACAGGTGAAGATAAAAAAGAAGGATCAAAAAGGACAAGACAAACTTATACGCGCTTCCAAACATTAGAGTTGGAAAAAGAGTTTCATTTCAACAAATATTTATCAAGACGGCGTAGAATAGAAGTATCACATGCGTTAGGTTTAACGGAGAGGCAAATAAAAATATGGTTTCAAAACAGACGAATGAAAGCAAAGAAAGATGGTAAACTAACAACATCACCGGATCCGTATGCAGCTGAAGATCAAGGTGTGACCAAAATGCCAAATTTATCGGAGTACATTGACTTGCCAGTTCTTTCTGAATATCCTAATTATCCTATGGGTTCTGTACCTCCACACCATTTAAGCCAAATGACAAATAATATGACAGAGAATTGCATGATTCCTTACAGAGGTATGGTTCCTAAAATGTGACCGCAGTATTTAACTTTATTTAAATAATTAAGAAAATTATTAACGTCTTATATCTATTACCGATTTTGTTCCAGTTGTAAACTGGCATCTGATGTTGATGTTACCAATTTTTCATGTGTATATATAGTTATATGTAAAGATATATAATCATCCTTTCTTGTAACTAGATAATTTTATAATATCATAGGGTAAATTTAACTATCACAATGTTAATTACTGGTTGTAGTCCACATGAGTTTAAAATAGCTTTACTAAGCGGATAACGCTATTTAACCCTCTCAATTGCATTATTGTACATACTACTTATGACAAATTAATGTATACTATTAAAATGATTATATACTTTTTAAAATTCTTACAGAGAATTTGTCAAATATTTCTAATAAAATTTTTGTCCTTATATTGCAACATAGAAATCAGTAATAATAATAATTATATTTAGGACTATAATTAAAAACAATAATTATTCCGATGAGTAATGTTTACTACAAAATAAAATATAATTCTGGTCAGAGTGAATAATGTAACTAATTATGCCTGTATGTACCTACTATAGATATTGATATATTGACTTTCAGCATATTTGATTACCGAATGCCTTTTAACAATAATATGTTTTTTTTTTGCGTTTATTAATAATATATATATATATAGTAAAATTACAAATACAACATATCATTTCATAAGTGTAAATATTTTATGAATAATGTATAGAATATGATGGACAGTTCCTATAATTATGGCGTATGGAAATATTATGATTACGTAGTAAAGTAAGTTATATAGTAATAAGACTGATTATTTATGACTATTTTTATACTTCTCTAGTCAAATGGCGCTAATTAAAATAAAGAGGAGTTTCGATTCCAGATTATTAATAAAGTATTTTTATTTGAATTAACTTTTACTATTATTTAACCTTTATTATTAATTTATTGGTTATTTCGCTTTTCATTATTTTTATATTTCATATACTTATATCTATCTCATATATTTTCTATATGTAGTAAATTCATGCAGAAAATATATAATATTAGTTTAAAATTTTGTTACATAAAATAAAATCAATGGTGTCAAATATACTTGCATTAAAGTGATGTATGACATCGTCTATGTGTGTGAGTATATGAAATCATCTAAAAATAACCAATGCCAAAGTTAGTCATATGTACTTAAATTATTTTAATTGTTCACATTAGTAATATAACAAAAATACAAATGCACTAACAATATCCAATTTGTCCTTTTTAAAGTTGATTTAAATATATTAAATCAAAAGACCCTGCGTTAATTTGTTTAAAGTTCACACTTCTTGCAATAAATACGGCGTTAACAATACAACCCTTTCTGTGTTGAAAATGGTCAAAAAAGTCCTACTGCTTAAATATTGGCGGCAGTAGTATACCCAAGGGAGTACTTAATAGTATTATGTTCAATTGTTGACAGTTTACCGACAAATTTTGACATGTTTTGACTAGATATCGGATTTGGCTCGTCAGCTCTTTGACTGCGATTTTGCTTTGTAATCCTGTAAAGGGCTTTGCTACTTGTTTGTTACATATTTGAGGCAAGTATATATTTTTTTATTAGGATGGTATGAATTTTGGTTATATAAGCTCAATTTTTTTTATAAATACATTCGGAAAACTTAGGTCAATTATTTCATTATTTTTCCACTTCCTGACAAACGACCGAGTTTTCCTCTATACTTCTTTGTACGTACAAAGAAGAATGTAATATTTTATTGTCTGTGGTATGGCTATGGTAGGTATACGAAAAGTTCCGCATTACCAATTTTACTCTTAATTTGATGATTATTTTTTAAATTCGACTTTTAATATATTATAGGTTCTATAATACATAGAATCACCTAGACAATTTCTCGAAAAAATTTTGCAACTGAAAAAAGTGATTGAAAAAATATTCCTATTATATGTATATACCGACAAAATCCTTCAAAATCTTATTACAATAATCTTCCGTATAGTTACTGATTATATCAGCTAAATAGTTTCGTATCGGATTTTATATCGAATTTCACATTTTGGGTTTCTTTAGTGTCAACTTCATAAAGTTTCGGTGAGTGGTTGTGGGTTGGAGAATATATTATTCAGCGCATATATCATATTGATAAATTCGAAATATTATTTTATCTCTAAGAAATATTTTAAAGTGAAATCTAAAGGTACAAATATTGTGAATTTCTTACAGAAATAGGTCGTTCTTCTTACCTATCTTTTACTTTATATAAATAAACATTTTCCGGTCAATATTCACAATATTTTTTGAGCAAAAATCACAACTAACTTCATTGCATGAACCTTCTAACGGCCCTCCGTTACAAAGTAAACCCTCATAATATTTGAATAGAGAATAACAATAGATTGCAATAGAAGAGGATGCCAATAACGATTGATACTTTAAGCGAAAAGAGAAAGATATACAATCAACCCCATGACAAGGGGTGAGATCTCTACAGCGCATGCTCGGTGGACATTCATTCAAGATGGCTGCTAGTGTTTAGTTTATTTCGCGTGTTTTTGATTAAAATATTGTATTAAGGCATATAATTTTATTAAACACATACAATATGTGGTGTACAAATCTTACAGAGACGATCCAAGATTTAATTTTAACTGAAACGGTAAGTCACTTTCATAATAACTATTTGAGGTTATGATTTTATGACAACAGTGTTAAATAACATATTCCTAATAATTTATAGGGCCTAAAATAGAATAACGTAACTAATTATTACTTGTAATATATATTATAATATATATAATATTATAATATGTATTTTTTAGATTACAGTGAGATGTATTTCTATTACACTGTTTTTATTTACGGTTTTGTATAGGTGACTAATATATATAGTAATGGTTATTTTATTAGTAATATCACTAACTCGGTCTAGCTATACATCTGAATTATGATTGGTTACTCAAACATATTTTAGAAAGGGAAGGGATTGTTGGTCGTGTGAACTATATCCCCATTGCCAACAATGTACAATCACAATTTGACCTCCTCGCGGTTCGATCTGGAAACCATCATAGTACATTCCATTCTGGCAAATTTGCCATGTTGGCTGACTCATTTGAGCTCATCTTGTAGTCCTCCACACATCTAAAAATAATATTATGAGAAGGTCAGGCAAATTTATACGCATAGGTATGCATGGTGTTCATTTAATATCTTATCATGATAATATTAATTATATATTACACGTCCACTGCTAAACAAAGGCTTCCCCAAAATCTCCACGATGATTGATCCTGCGCTGCTCGCAACCAACGCATTCCAGCGATCTTGACTAGATCAGCGGTCCACCATGTCAGAGGCCTTTCTACGCTGCGTCTTCCGGTCCGCGGTCGCCACTCGAGGACTTTACTGCCCCAACAGCCAACTGTCCTACGAGCTATGTGCCCGGTCTGAAATAATGATGATGATATTACATTAATAAATCTAATAATATAAATAGATAGTCAACTAAAAATACCTATAATAAAATATTACCTACAGATTGATTTCATATAACTATCTCTATTACTACTGTCATTATAATATTATTTTACTTTTAGGTAACGAGGGTAGTATGGTAAAAGATTAGATTGTAATTTATCCATATTAGACCTACCTAGTAATTATTCTAATACTGACATGGGTATATTTAATATCAATAGAAGGTTCTAACATACGAATTCCACAACCACTGAACTGTAACTATTGTACAATTCAATAAATAGTTTTATTGCATCAACGGAAACAAGACGGTTGCTTCCACAACATATCACTAAATACTAAATAAGCTATCGTTGAAATAAATTTGGTTATTATGTCCTTCTACAGTGCATCGCACCAAATTGGTGCAAACACGACATTTCAGTTTCCGAACTGCAATACGTAAGTTGGTTTTGTCACGCATTCAATACGCGCTTGAATGGGAACTCTAATTAATCCCAAAGTCGAACGAGGCAGCTTATTGAAGACGGATCAAAAGAAACCTTCTAATGGATATTTGAATACCTCGATAGTATGTACCTAATATGTATTTACTCACACAATGAATCAACTGAATGTTTATGCTCTAAAAATAATTACGTAATTAGCTGCCTTTAATATTTTGGTTGATAAGTGTTAAATCTATTTGGAAATTATATCACTATTTTGCAGTTACTACCTTGGTTATATTTTTGACGAAATTTGTACAGAATACGGTGAATTCAAGTTCTTTCATCCGTTATTATGTTACGTACGTAAACCTTAACACACAAACAGTAGATTTCCGTTTCGTTACAATTTTGTAGTAGGTAATGTATATATAGTTATATATGTTAAGAAGATGTAGAAGGGAAAATAAATTGTTATTCATAAATTTATTTTTTGACGTTCTTAAAAGTTTCTAGAAACTTATTGCCACGTATGTGTAATATGGAATCAACTGCCGACAGAAAAAGTTATTTCTGATACGAAACGATTGAAACATTTCAAAATACACATTGTTAAGTAAAGTTAGTTATTTAATTAATTGTCGTAGTACTTACTGTAATCTGTGCTATTGGTGGCTATAGGTACCTACTTAGCTGATTATTTCAAAGCAAAAGTCGATTAGTGGCGGTATATTTAATTAAAATCTTAGAAATATCAGGATATAGGATTAGTTATTACCATCTTATCAACATGTACAGAAACTAACAGATGTTCTCCCGCGTTCTTTTAATACGTGAACGTTCAAAGTGAGTTTATCAACAAACATAAATTACAACATAATTATACGTAATGAGCAATTAATTTAAGAGCGAGAACAAACCATTAGTGATAAGCAATGTGTGTACATAATTGATTCTTTTGATGTTGCTTCAGCCTTTAAGTAGGTATAAGGTATGAATATTTTTATTTTAGATATCTATTAGTTAAAATAACTTTTCGTTAAGTTACTATATCTAGTATTAGAAACTTAATTTAACTATGCAGCTTTGCGTTTAAGATTATGATACTGGATGATTAGCTCAAGACTTGGATGAACCTTACTAAGTAATTCTATGGGACTTTTTTATATATGACTGATAGGATATTCTGTAGTAGTGGTTATTTAAGGAATATAGCCAGTACCCTATAATATGGAGCGATAATTTCAAGATTTCATATCACAGTAAGAATAAATATAGGTAATTCTAGAATCATTACTTGTGACAGTTTGTGAGATAGCATAGGGTGTAGTAGTTAATACTGGACAAACAATTATTAAATTAAAAACATCATTTTTAATAACTGTTTTAGATAAGCATACGGCCTATCATTTAAAATAAATATATGATATGGTAAATGGTTAATTTAGAGAGAGACCTGAAGATAATGCCTGGATGATGCCTGAAACAATAGGACACCTCATCTTTTTTGTATTATCGTACGGCCCATCGCGTAGCCTATGATGCCTGAAACAATAAGAAACCGTTAATATATATATATATTAATGATAGTATTATTATATATAATTCATTTAGATAATTTAAATAATCATAACAATCGTCTATGTACATGAACGGCACCAAGGACTTCACTTCCACCAGTAACAGCTGCCTCGTATTGCGATTTTGGAAAACTAAGATGTACCTTTATACCTTGTATTTCACTGCTATATTTCTTAGTGTCTGAATTAATGAAATAGGTGAACAAGACGACTTTGTTTTAAAATTATAGTATAAGAGGCATTACATCTTAGTTCTCTGGAATGCTGATGCAGGAATATCATGGGTGTCACATATTAACGTGAGTCCGTAGTGCTATTCATATATATAGACGACCGCTTACAATCAGTTGAGCAGTTTGCTTGTTTGCCATTCCAATTACAAAATAAAATGTATACAGTCTATCTCTACAAACTATATTGCATTCCATATAGTCCAGGTGGTCCGTATGTTCAATACTCAGTATATGAACTATCGAGTACGATTTACAAAAAGGCGAGATGCGTCGTGGACATCACGTTACAGAAACATCAGTGTCCATACAAAAACCGACGGGATCAACAAAAGAATCTGCAGGGCGCATTGTCCCAGGATCATTTATCAAGAACGCTCCGCTGCCATCGCTCGAAAGCAGAGCTGATCAATGTTTGGCGGACGAGGGTGATTTGGATCGATTAAAATTTTTGCATTTAATTGTTGATTTTCAGTAAAAATACTTATAGTAATTATAGTACTTGTATATAGTAACAATGATTTAAAAATAAATGTAGATATTGAGGTAAATAAAAAACCATTAAAATGTAAGAGGATATGTAGAGATGTGTTTTCATGAAAAGTCATTAATTACAAAAGTTGTTTGCGTGCGCCATGCAGCTTTTTGTAAGTGTGATATGGTAGTGGGGTTATAATACTATACATAATAAAATAAATTGTATCTTAGTCTTCAAGAAAGGCAACACATAGGTGATATCAAGAACTATTAAGTAATACAGTGGTGTTCGTAATATTGTTCATGTACCTATATAGATGACGGTTACCACTTACCTTCGACGTATATAAAAAATATTAATCAGTAGCTATTTAAAACCACATTTGAAAAATTTTAAAACCAATTTCATTGATTCTTTATTGCTATCATCACATCTTGATGGTGATGTTTGGAAGATGACATAATGAATAATGTATATGTGATAAAGTTACAAAGTAACATATTAATTGTATATATATGGAGCTGCATAAAAGAAACGACGCCACGTATTCTCATACATTATAATATAGCTGTATTTAGAGATAATTACTATATAAGTTGCATTACGATAATCACAACTCAACATGAACAATTACTGAACGACCGTTTTCCCGCTACTGTATAATAGCTGCTATTACCATATTGCAATTTAACGCCTTTGCGAAATGTATAATAACTCAATTTATGTGATACCCGTACTTAGTTTTTACGAAACCTCTTCGATTTTATTGAATGGATCATTATATAAATTTGATACCGATCATTTAAATTGCATTTCTTAAAATTTATAAATTGAATAAAAAAGTTAATCCGCATAAGTATTTTTCTACTAAAACTAGCGACCTACCGCGGCTTCGCACGGATGTATAATGCAAGTATCTAGAATTTGACAAAGGTCGGTCACTATATGCTATATACATAATTCTAAGTATTCACCGCTATGGGTAAGGCTTCACCTTTTTACTTCATTTTTAATGTGTAAATTAAATCTTTAACAATACTTTTAATTTATACAAAATTACAAATCTAATTTAATATTACAACTTAATCTTTCAATCAAAAATAAATGTTTTTACCCTAGAAAGTTGCCACAATTACTATGACGACGAATGTATAACATTCGTCGTCATAGTAATTGTGCATTGTGCAACGTATATCTATATTTATACCTATGTCCTATTTACTTATTTATATGTCTATTCATCTTCTCCTCAGATATGACAGCCAAGTGCAAGAACATACTGCGTCGACGTGAAATGAGTAAAGGCAAGGGAACGATTATGTGGGTATCTATCTATTTTATAAGTGTAAATGCCAGGGAGACCTTATCTTGTAATATTTTAAAACATCTACACACGTCACTAAAATCAGGTGCGATATCGGAGCAGTGATGGGATGTCTCCTTAATCACTTCCTAGATCGCCTCATGTGTCCGATACTGTCCCCTATTTTAGAGTCATATATAGACCATTTCACTGTGATTATTTGTTCATGTTATTTTTTGTAATGTATGATAATAAAATAGTGCACTCGCCTACGCCAATGACCACCAGTGGATGTTGACAGTTTGTAGATAAAGTTAACTCTGTTAGCTCATTGTAGAGAATTCCATGTGGAAGCCACGTGGAGGATGACCTGACACCATTGATAGTAACAAGATCACTAGTTCCCGTTACTATCAATCCCCGCCTCCTTAAGTTTCTTCATATTGATATGGTATGTTTATTATTAAATCAACTAAGCCACTTTATTTTAAGACATTTGATTCAGATCCAGGATAACATTGTCAGGTATAGTTCAAATCAAAACGTAACGTCATTTACCTGACTTTAACGTGACGTGACTTTGGCACGGGTAGAATACTGATAGCTAGTATCACTCGACCCTCGACTTGCGATTAAGAATTGAACAAAACTTAAATAGTTTGTAATGTAACATTTCAAACGACTGAGATATGAAATTTCTCCATTGATGTGTTATTTACTTAGTTACCTACATTATATCTTTGTCAATACCGTATCAATTTTTTATAATCAGTAGAGTTGACTTTATTAAATTGTACTTATTAAAAAATTAACAGACCAATTAGTGCCAATATAAGCAGAAGATAGATTTTGTACATAGTCGTTTACATGGGTACCTCAATAACATTTCGCTAAGTATCTTGCTTTGTAAGATATGTGTCGATATTACAGGGCAGGAAGGTATGATATTTTAGTATTTAGGAATGGCAACACAGAAGTTGTACCACGGGGATGCTGTATATAGGTAGGTACCATAAATACATAAACCGTACCACGGTCATCATATAATCATGTGATCCCGTGGCTACGTGGATTGTTTGACATACCAACTGTACAAACAAAATTACTGTCTAGGGTGTTAGAGACATTCATACTATACAATATACCTTAAAATTATTTCTACTTTCATGTTACTAATAATAGTGTTTGTTCTAAAATTTAAGTCAAAATCTAAGCACTTCCTATTTAGTTAATATTGGTTATGGGAAAAGTCGGAGATCTTGTTATACTGGCGTTGGAATCGGCGTCAATGTCACTTATGTGTTTAACCCGGCGAGTGGATGGAGGAAATGATGGATGGCGCACCAACCGGCCCGTTGTTGTAGCTAGAGGGAACTACTTAGAGTTGTTATAATGATTTCAAATTTTTCATTTCTTTATATATTTACATAGAGAGAATAAAGATTTTAAACCAGTTTTATATATGTATGTTATCTTTCACTGTTTATTTGTTAAGTATCGAATTGTCTCTAATATAGGTTTACTTTCAGTTTAATTCCTATAATAACTATTTTTTTATCTTCGTTTACTTTCTTTCTTCGATCTTATATTTTATTATATAATCTAGTTTTCTAGTACGAAGGTTTTGTATTTTAAATATACAGAAGCAGAGCAGTTTTTTATTTATGTATTCATTGTTTTGCAGATTTAAACTTAGTTGCATGTTCTCATAAATTGATTGAGTAAAACTGTTCTCTTATTTCAAATAATGAGTTGTATATACAACACTATATTCTGTGAAATTTGTAAAAAAGTTGTAAATAGAAAAATTATCTTATATTCTATAATATTAATTTTATACATAAGGTCCTACTTATCTACATATATTTCAAAAATTTTAAACAATTTCACTTACAGTTGAAAGAGCGACTCTATACATTTCCCATTTCCTACAGTACTCGACCCTCGCGTTCGCCAAATTCCAAATTGTTTTTGACTGACAGCTAAATGTAAGTTAGCATTGTTTGAGCGACGCACCGCAGCCTTCGGTTACCCGGCTCTTTCTATAATTATTTCCCATCCAGTAATATAGAGTAACTCTCCAGTGTTTGCACTAGTGAAAGTTTCCAGATGTTAAAACCTGTATTTGTTTGTTCATATGTAACATTGTATCCATTTTTTAGATTATAAATTCATTATGATTTACGTTTCTTACTTATTTCATGCAATAAATAGTAATATCTAATGCATTTTTTAAATTTATATACATACTTTATTACTAGCTAGGTATATCCCGCAGCGCAGTCGGTATGATTTCGAGTAAAAACTACGCACACGTTAAAAATATCTTGGAGACGATTGTACGTACTCGGTATCAATTTTTATTCAGATTTGAAACTGGTCTAACTGTTTAATAGTGATTTAGTAACATTAACATTTTTATATAGGTATGCAATCTACAAAATAAATAATAGGTACGCAAAACTATTTCGCTTAATTTATTTGAAATTATTATACATATATGTATATATATACAATAATAAAATAAAATGTGTACTAAATAATTAAATTGAATCATACAATTGTACAAATTACTTGCTTCTGTAGTATGTAGTAGTCTGTGTGTCTATGTGTCTATGTGTCTTCTGTAGTATTATACGACTCAAACTATAAAATTAAAATCTTTATTATAAGCATATTGTGTTTTGCATATATTTAAACAGTATTTAAATGATTTAATTATTTAAATTAAAAAACGAACTCGACATAAAATTAATTAGTTCAGTGTCCATTCTCGAGATTCCACGCGAAAGTTCCTGCCGAAGGATTGACGGCCAAACAAAACAAAAGCTCACTGGAATTCCGCAACTTACCGCTTTTTTATTTACTGGAGAAATCTCATAAAGTGAACCCTTCGTTCAAACATTTAAAACGACGCATTAGTTAGCGTGTAGTATATAATATTGTAACTGTAGGTATGCTAAACGTGTTACGTTTAGATATTTAGAGTTACAATTTACAAGAAATAGTAGATCAGTATTATATTAAATGTTAAAGTCCATCAGGGACTTTTTGTAATTACATTATAGATATGGAAAATAATAATTATTAAAATAGTTTTATACTTACTTTTTACTTAAACAGTTAGTCGTTATATAGTGCTATACCTAAAGATTTATAATTAAATACCACGTATCTATTTTGACATTTTTTTTAATTTACAGGTCTAACAGTGTGCATATCCTCTCGACCGCTGTGATGAAGATAGAAAATAAACGTCACTGTTAAAAAATATATAATTATATTTCTTTTTAAACAAATTTCCTTATCTTTTTCATCACATAACATTTACTAGACACTTTGTTGTTGCATGTATGCCGCCTATATTGTAGTTAACATACATTTTTCATTAGGCTTCTGAAAATTCTCACAATATGAGACAAGCCGTCAGCGAACTGTACAGTCGTCGACAGAAAAAGTGATAACCCCGTGGAATGTCATTAAGTACACATGTACTTAATAACATCACACGCTGTCAGTGTTTAACAGTATTAGTGTAGGTCGAAGGGCGAGTTCGCGACGTTTGACAAGGGGCGACAGTTTGACTAATGGTGTTGACGTCACAGTTACTTTCCTTAGACGGTGCATTGAGTAGGAATTGGAGAATTGTTAATGGCTGTTTATTGAAACTATCTGACTGTACTTAGGTACAGTACTGTATGAATAAAAATTCGTAAATATCTTTATGTCAGTGGACACTAACATTATCTAAATGGTGTACCAATCGGCATTAACAGTATAGACTGGGATCCCGGTGGAGGATAATAAAATACATAAAGGCAAGTCAGCTATCATCTTCTGTTTCGTCTACTTTTGCCGGTCCAGGAAATTTATTTACTTGCAGACATACAGCAGTACACTGCTGTATAGTGACACATTATTTTAATTATATTAAGTAATGTATTGCACACAACTAACCTATAGTTCAACTGTCATGATAGAGTGACACTACGATAGTAGAACAAATATAATATATAGCAGGGTATACAATAAATTATTACCTGTATTACTGAACAATAAAAATGCATATATGTAAATAGCGTTGATGATCTAGACGTTTAACACACCGTTTTACGATGGTCGCAGGTTCGATTCCTCGCCCGAAGTACCTAATCATTTGTATTCATGAGTATGAGTGTTTGTATCTGTCTGGGTGTTCTATGTATGTAATGTATGTAAGTATATAAATATATGGTGACAGTTATCACTTTTTTCCAGTTTGACATGCAATTTCCTAATATAAGAAAATAAAATGAAAGACAAAAACGAAAAGAATTTTCTTAAATATTGTGTTATTTTTTTAGCTAAGCTAAGCTTTACAGATTCACCGGATAAAATGGACGCAAGTGTAGAGGGTATACAATTGTACTTGATAATAAATACCTATATGAACCCTCTACTTACCTTTTCATAATCATGGTAAACATAATACATATTTACATTAATTGGAGGAGTGAGGCAAGAACAAGTAATAACTAATAAAATACACTAGCGTCCTCTAAATTCACCTTTATACTACTAATGACAAACAAGCTGTTGGCGCACCATTACCCAAGATGCAAACACATCTAAATAAAATATATAATATTACACAACTATTATCCCAGACGGTGTAGTCTGAACCATTAAATATTGCCAACATAGTGGGGAACGCAATACTTCCATATTGTACTTCGTATATCTATTTGACTTTTTAACAAAGGTTTTTTCACCTGAGCATTAAAAATTTAAATTGACAGATATAAACTTTTTAGTAACAGCCAAATTTGAACTCGGAACCTCGGTTTAAATGGAGACCAGCTATGCCACAATGTACAGTTGGTCTCCATTTAAACTAAATCTAATTATATGTTGCCTACCTTTGGATAATCCAACAGTGATATCTCCTTAAAATTACTGCTTGCATAGAGACATCCTAGTACCACCTAAAAGAAATTTCAAAGTGAATAAAAATTGTCTGAGCATTTTCTTTATACAACGCCATCTATGATAATAATTACTCCAAACTCTCTGCTAAATGCTGCTCAATAGACAGACAGCCGCGCCACCATCACCCACTTAAGCAGGTAAGTATGTACTACAATTACATGAAGTAATTCAAAGTAATAATTTACCAAAGTCAAAAATGGACAAAGAGAACTGTAAAAAGTCATTTGCGTGGTATCTAAATCTCAACTATCTAAGCCATCAAGTAGTTAGCTTTGTGATCTGTTTCGGTTGTAGTGTGCAAATTATACAGTGGAATGACAGGATAATAGACATAGTATCTTAGTGCATTAGAATGGTAACGCTACGTGGTTTTTTTTCTTTTGTAATGGCTTGGTACTATGGTGCATTTGCCAACGCTACGTGGCTACATATTCTCTCTTTATAAGTACCACAGATGATATAATAGGTCGTACTACAGGTTAGGAAGCTGTATTTAAAGTAAGATAAATTTTTTATTGAATTAATCAGATTCAGTTTGTTTTCGGATTCG